ATGGTGCCTGGATCAGTGAGCTGCGTCTCGGGCCGATGACGTCACTTCCAGGGAGGCATGCCCAGGCCTGTTGTACACGCCCCCGTCCCTTGACTCCACCCCCATGTCAAAACAGTGCCAGAAAGCGAGACGCGCAGAAACGTGAAGCGCAAAGGGGAAAACGGTATCGCAAGCTCAAACTTGACTGAAACGCAAAATAAAAGCAGCGTTGCAAATAAATTAGTAGATATGGCCATGGAAAATATGTATTGCAAAATCATTGCTTTTGTGCTGTTTCATTTATATTTTGCAATTCTTTATTTTTGTTTGCAAAACAGCACATTTATTTTTTCTCAATACTTTCATTTTCGTTTGCAAAACTTTCATTTTCGTTTGCAAAACTTTATTTTCTTTTGCAAAACTTTATTATTTTGCATATATATGTGGCATTATATTGACTCCATACTTCTGCCTATACTTTTAGCATTTTTTGTAGCACAGAAAGAAACTGTTCTCATCAAATTCTCTAATCACAAAGTAAAAAAATGTGCAATACCTGCCGTGTGCCAGGTGGTGCCTGACTTGACAAGTAAATAAAGAATAACAACGTGCAAAACAGTCAATATTTCAAACACAATTCACGCGTTTTGTAAAACAGATGGCATGCACTGAAAAAAAAAACATAAACAAGACCATAAATAAAGCGATCAGCGTGTGAAGTAGTTCAGTAGTAACCTCACGTTTGTGTCGCTCACCTATATAAAACTTACTGAAAGAGCGTAAGTCCTCTGTTTGTTAACTGCTTCTTCAAGAGTGTGAGACTGCTGTTAGATATGTTCATAAACAGAGCAACTGGTGCTCAAATATGGCTGTTTGCTGACTGACATAAACAAGACCATAAATAAAGCGATCAGCGTGTGAAGTAGGTCAGTAGTTCAGTAGTAACCTCACGTTTGTGTCGCTCACCTATATAAAACTTACTGAAAGAGCGTAAATCCTCTGTTTGTTAACTGCTTCTTCAAGAGTGTGAGACTGCTGTTAGATATGTTCATAAACAGAGCAACTGGTGCTCAAATATGGCTGTTTGCTGACTGAGCATGTGGACGAACACAGCTGTGCTGTGGCGAACTTCAGAACTGCAGATGCGTGAATGAGCCAAACAAACGGAGAGCTGCGACGCGTCTGACAACAAACTCCAAAAGCGACTCACATTTGATTTGTTACAGATTTCATGCTTCACGCTGGATTAGTGGGTTTTCGAGGGGGTTCCTGTGTAGTCAGGTTTCGACAGTTCACAATCGACGGATCTCAGACAGGTACAGCACGCGACCTTTTTTAACTGCTTGACCGTCAGTCTATGAAAAAATGTATCATTAAAAAACACAATTAAGTCGACTTAAATCTTACCTCAAATACTGAAAGTATTTCGGGCGAACATACAAAGTGCATGCATATTTAATGAGGTAGCCTACTGAGGGGTTTATGATTGGTTGTCTGTTGTTAAACAACTCGCCTACAATTCGGATTCAAAATTACAAGTGTGAAACGTTTAAATTGGGTTAAAAGTGGCCTTACTTTACGTTTTTAATCAGTTTAACTTGACATTTCAAAACATCAGAAAAGACGGAGTCTGCCATTCCAAAAATGCTGTCTTGGCAACTAGGTTTTGAGACAGCCTGAAGGTTTTTCAGAGAGTTCCAGAACAATTCATGCATTGCTTACCTGTCAGATGAATAAATCCACTAGGAAAAAGAATAAAACACAAGAAATGATTTTGCTGTTGCAGTGGTTGGGTGCTGTTTAGTGCACACTGCAGCTTAAACGTCCTATTGCCTGCAGCTCAGATCCATTGGTTGCAAGCTGCATAATAGACATGTTAACCCTAGTGTAAACTCTCCACCCACCAAACAGCAAGATCTGTAGTAAGTTCAGTCTGACTGCAGAACCAATGTTGTGGAAAGGAAGAAATTTATTTATTTTTATTTTTTTACATTATTTTAATATATAAAAATATATATTTATGTTATCATTTTTTTTTATTATTATGCAAAAGTATATAATAGCAGATGCATAAGTATACAGATTATATTTATATAGATTTGAAGCATATTTATAGATAAATGTTACCAAAGATGGGGAGATGTAAAAGTTTAGGGTATTTTTTTTTAAGTACGCATTGATCAAACATTATTCTGAATACTCGTATGCAGTATGTGGGTATATATAAAGATTTATACATTTACATAATCTATAGGTTTATGTGCTGAATGGCATGTGGAGACTCAGCTGAGAGTGTTCCCTCAGAGCAGATCACAATTAGAGCAGAAAGGTTGACCTCAGACATCTGCTCTACTGTTATAGGATTCTGAATTATAGGAGACTCCATTGCTTCTGAAAAATTGAGAATGTGTATATTGAGATGTGCATTACAGGAGGGATATAATAGGAACTAACTCTTGATTTCAAACATGCATCATAAAACACAAACATGAACATGCTGTATAAAATTGGTGTCAGTAGGCACGCAAATAAGCTCATGCATGGAATTTGATTCTTAATTTCACAAGGAAAAAAAACACATTTTAGGAATAAGTTATGTTTACTATAATGGGTTTTTGAGTTTTTTTTATGTAATTTCTTACAATTTCACAGACAGAAACTGAGTCACTTTTGTTTAAGACAGAATAACAACAGTGTTTTCCAGAGACCGTGAACTTTGACCATTATTGGCTGACCTAATTCTATATACAAGCACAAAACACATCCTGGAGAGCTTGGAAACTCTGTTTCAGGCACAGACAAACCTTGCCTATCTGAAACAACCAATCAGAGGAGGTTTAGAGAGCCCCACCCATTGTCAGGGCAGTATGACAACACACTGGGTGAAGCAATGACAGAAGCCTATCAGTGACAACTGGATTCATTCATTCAGATACTTTCAAACTGTTGAAAAATGATATTTAAGACATTGCAGATTATTTCTTGAAAAGTCATAGCAGTTTTTAGTCTACAGAGCACTAGAAGATTGGATAACACCCAACAGTTTCACATGTATCAGATACTACACCGACAAAACCATCTGATTAGACATTTCAAACTGCTGTTTCTGTGCAATAATCATTGCAAAGCCATTGAGTGTGTCATTTGAGAATGAACTGCTCAGATGTGAGTCTAGACGCAGTGCCATTTTGTTGTTCTTCTAAAACAGGGTTCACTGGGGTCATGAGGAGAAACGCCTTCAGCTGAGGAAGGCGTTTTAGAAATGTCACTCTTACAGACGCTGAACCCTTATACTTACACCTGAACTGTCACATGACCCCTGCACTGATCTAAATGAATCATGCATCAGTCTGCACATTCAACACCTCAATATTGCGAGAGAAACCGTTCTATCATAAAAGAGTAACTCAGTATTACTGTAATGTTTGACTCAGGATTCTGTATAATTAACAAGAGCTTCTATATCCTGCAATTGTTGTTTTATGTTTTAAAGGGGTCATATGATGCGATTTCATTTTTTCCTTTCTCTTTGGAGTGTTACAAGCTCTTGGTGCATAAAGAAGATCTGTAAAGTTATTTTAGTACTTCCAACTTAAACTAAATGAAAATGAGAAAATCTTTTTTGTGGTAGTGAATCATAACAACCCTGCCTCATCATCAACATGTTTCTAAAATTATAAAATAATTAGAAATTTAAAATAAAAACATAAATAAAATAGGCATAGTTAATTAACTCAAACCATGGACATTCAAGGAAACCAAAATTGTGGTTGTTGTAATGTTGTACTCTAACCAATAGATGGCGATAGAACTGCAGCAGAACCAGCAGCTGCACATAAAAAAAGTCTAATGTCTCAGCTGGAACTGAAGTGAATAACACCATATTATTATATTCTAGGCCTAACTATGAGTTTATAGTATCTGCATTTATTCTCTGTCTGAGAGACAAGAGATTTCACTTATAAATAACAGCCATAATTCTTAACATTAGGAATTTATTTCTATTGATTGATTTAACTGTCATTCAGATTGAAAACACACTGTGTTTCCTTGTATGGTTAGAAAAGCCATATGAAACTTAAGAAAATTTGTAGCGCTCCAAATAAGACTGCAGGTGCGTAGAGCCAAGAAGATACTTGAAAACGATGCAGACTGGAAAAGTCTAGAAAAACATTTTTTTTATTTTATAAATTGCATCGTGCAAAAAAAGTGCAGAGTGCATGTGAGTTAAAAACAAATGAACACGAGCAAGCAGACGTTTCTTCAGTGCTACCTTTTCCAGTCTGCATTGGATTCAGTGTGCGGCTAGCTACTTTTTTGTTCGTTTTCTAGAAAAGCCATATGCCCACAACAAAAAAATGTCTGAAGATCAAATGCTGTTCCTTAAATGCTTGTTTAAGCATAAAATACATGTGACTCACATCCAACATTATTTGTATTTATTTAATTTTTTTTCAAAAACAACCACATTTTCCAAAACTGCCATGCATACTCTTATCCAGGACATTTCATTTGGTCCTGCTGTTCAGTTTGGAGAGACACAGAAGGGAATAAGACAGGGAAGAGAAATAAATAAGAACAAATGATTATGATGGGAACAGAGAAATTCGACATGAACAGCAAAAATGCTCCAACATAGAAAGAAACTCACCACACACACCATTTCAAATACACACTAAGCTCTGTTTGTTCCATTGCCTGAGCATGATAGTCCTTACGACAGTTCAAACTTGAAATAAAATCCAGTAATAAAATTTATAATGCACTACTTCCATAAAAGCTATCAAATGTCCTTTTTTATATAGTTAATAGAGAAAAATACCCTAATAGAGATACAAAATTTGCTTAATCTGTACCAAAAGATGGACAAAAACTTTCTCAACAAATATATAATAAAACTTTTTTCCTCTTGAATCGTGGTCAACTATAAAATTCATCAGATTTATTGCACCCTATTGCCTTTACAGTTCTTGTTTTCCATTGAAAATGTTTTTTTCTATTTTTGATTTTTCTCATTTTCTCGTTGTTAGACTTGTGCTTAAAACAAGAAAAATGCCAACAAACTTAATTCAGAAAATACATATTGTCTGAAAACATGTCTTAATAAAAAGTAAATGTATCTTGTTAGATATTTAGATAATTTTTACTGAAAAAAAAAAACAAGAAAAATACTGATTAAAAATGACTTTTGTTGTTGTAGAGTGAAAGTCTCTTCCTAAGTATTGGTCCCAGGCCTCCCTCTTCTCTTCCACAGTTCTGAGGTCTCCATGACGAGTGACATTTGCCCTTATAAAAAGCTGCTCACTCGTTCTAATCCCTCCACTCTTAGAAAATGACCATTTATGCCATCTTTGGGCCAGTACTTCACAACTCGTCCTTGTGGGTGGCGCTCTGCAGGCCGGCCGGTGGCTGAGAACCCTTGAGAGTTTTATGCGAGCCCCTCCAGTCCGTGCGCACATTGTCGTCATCCCACAGCGTAGACGTCTCTGTGTCACTCACCCACTCTGGGTCCCCGGCGTAATGGCAGGGCTGCACCAGAAGGGGGTGTGTGGAATACACCATCAGATTCCGATTGGGAAAATGGGATTTGTAGTCCTCACTATTGAAAGAAAACACCAAAATAAAACCGTTTTAGTAGCCGAACACTGTAGTAGCTTGAACTCTTATGATTGTAGGCTTTAGAAAATAGGTTATGAATATTTTCATTTGACGTCACCAGAAAAAAATATATAATATAATATAATATAATTTGTACATTATATAAAATAATATAATATGAATCCATATTTTATCCCCAAGTATAAGCAATGTAAATAATATACAATACAATACAATAAAAGAAGTAAATAAATAAAAGAAAATAAATTATACTATAATACATATATGTGTGTGTTTGTAAATAGATAGATAGATAGATAGATAATTTATCCCAATTAAAGATAAATCCCTAAGCATACTTTTAAGCAATATAAATAATGTACATAAAATAAAATATTATGGAATTTATACTACATAATATTAAAAAAAATATCTAACCATAAGTGTAAGCAATAATATAATATCATATAATTACCAGGCAAGTTAATTAATAATAATAATACTAATAATGTAATATTAATACTATATGTATTTATACTATATCCATATTTTATCCTGATGTTAAATAATTCCTACCCCTCAGTATGAGCAATATAATATAATATAATATAATAAATCCATATTTTATCTCCAAGTATAAGCAATATAAATAACATACATACAATACAATAAAATAAAATAAAAGAAATTATAATATATATGAATGTGTGTGTATCTATAAATTATTTTATCCTATTTTATTAATATACACAAATCTATATTTGATAATATAATAAGGTAAGGAATAATATAATAATACTAATAATATAATATTTACACTATATCCTATACACTATATCCTATTCTATATGTTACAAAATTCCTACCACTCAGTATGAGCAATTGGGAAATATATATTTTTTATCTCAATTTTAAAAAGTACTAGAGATGCTTGCATTACAACCTTTCAAAGGAAAGAGGTCACCGCTGATCTATTTAATGTCTCTTTTGGATCCAGAATGAGACTGCTTGACTTTACCCCAATAAATGAATAAAATATCAATTACTTTCAGCAGAAGCCTGTAGAGGTACTTCATGTACTGAGGGTAAATGTGTGTACTGGGCCAGCTGGCAGAGGGCCCTTGGCTTTGTCAGACCTGGAAGGAGAGCAAAGCGGCAAATACCGGCTAAAGTAGCTACTAATTTTGCTGGAATGCGTAACGGGGAAGACAGGGCAGGGTGTTTAAAGGGTTAGCCGTCAGCGGGGTCAGCAGCAGCACGCCGGATTCTGCCGGGAGAGCCGCGGATCGCTGGAAAGATTGAATAACACGGGGAGAATGCTGCTCTGATCTGTCTCTGTGGGCATGAGGAGCTTCAGGCGGGACGTGCCAAGCAAAATGAATAAGAGTCAGAGATGGAGAGGAAACGGACAGGGGTTAAAGGGATGGCATCACGCCAATCCACAGCGCACACACAACCCCTGCGCCGAGGAATCAAAGCTGTTGAGATCTGGGTTTCTTTCTTGGCTTGAGTCTCGACACTGTCCATAAAAATCAAATGACTTGTACAATTACATAGTGAAGAAACTATGCATAGAAAATAAAATAAAGCAGTCTCCGTACCAAAGCGCACATTTGTGGTGAGCCATTATAGTCAGTCCTACTTTGCAAAAATATGAAGTACTCATAATATAATGGAGGAGAAAATGGCAGTACGTAAATACCCAGGTAGCCAGCGCAATCGGGCCAATTGCGGCTGAGTGTCGGCTCACTCGGCTGTGTTCTGGCAGCAGCTCACCGAAAGTGAACCAGCTCTGGCCCAGTAATGGTTGCCAGATTTGGCTAGGCTTTGGATGTGCGGACCATAGTGCTAGAGTTTAGCTCCAACCATAATCAAGCACACCTGATCCAGCTAATCAAGGTCTTCAGGATTACTAGAAACTTCCAAGCAGGTGTGAGTTGGAGCTAAACTCTGCAGAACTGCGGCCCTCCAGGAATTGAGTTTGACGTCTATAGTATTGCGACTGATCTCATTTTTTTTTTTTAGTCAGTGCAAAGAAATGCAAGTACTGGCAGTGCATCAGATGGAGAGATTGAAAAGTTCATCGAAGATGGCTGCTGCTCACTTTGGACAGATGGGGGAAGAAAAGAGCGGGCCCGAATGCAAACAAATTCTTCCAAAGATATGTTCCAAATGTTAACATTTACCAGAGTTACCATTCATGTTATCACTCTGAGATTGTCTGAATAACCATACGTGTCATTGTCTCTTCACCTTTTGGTCTCTCTTTCTGTCTATCTGTCCCTCTTTTAGGGTACGCTTACTTAAGGAAGCTCCTGGAGTTTTTTTTTTTTTTCAAATAAATTCTAATATCACTCATAGTTTCATTTTTATACTGGGGGGGCATATATTGATGTTATGGGGTAAGAATGATGTTGCAATTGTGACAGTGTGATTGTGGCCCAATGCCGGCGGTTTTGGCAGCCAGACTCGCGCCAGTGTATTTGGGCCGATTCTGGGGTGTCATTCATCCCATGTCCATGCCGACTCCGGCAACCGCAGCCGGGCCGAGTTATTTCTTCCGGCCTGCCGAATCTGGGCCATTTTCGGGCCAAACCATTTTGGCTACCTGGGTATGGTGAGGATGCAACTAAAATTAGCAACATCACTCTTCTAACCCCACAAATCATTTTAACATTTAAAGGAATAGTTCACCCAAAAATGAAAATTTACTCACCCTCAGGCCATCCAAGATGAGTTTGCTTCTTCATCTGAACAGATTTGCAGAAATGTAGCATTGCATCACTTGCTCACCAGTGGATGCTCTGCAGTGAATGGGTGCCGTCAGAATGAGAGTCCAAACAGCTGATAAAAACATCACAATAATCCACAAGTAAACCACACCACTCCAGTCCATCAGTCTAAGTCTTGTGAAGTGAAAAGCTGCGTATTTGTAAGAAGTAAATCCATCATTAAGACATTTTAACTTTAAACCGTTGTTTACAGCTAAAATACAAGTCCTCTATACATAATATTGCTTTCTCCAGTGAAAAAGTCCATCCCTTTTTGCCTCTCACATCAAAACCCACCAACAAACGGTGCTTGATCTATGCATATTTCTCTCCTGATTCAGATGAGGCGACTTTTTCACTGAAGGAAGCATTATTATTTATAGAGGACTTTTAATAAATGTCTTAATGATGGCTTTGTTTCTTACAAATATGCAGCTTTTCACATAACAAGTTGTTACTTGATGGACTGGAGTGGTGTGGATTATTGTGATGTTTTTATAAAGACTACACGTTACGTTGTGGTGCTTTACCCTTATGTTCTACTGTGTTTAACGCTCTTGGATTGATAATTAAAGACTCACTTCTGGATACCCTTGCACCGTGTGCTTCATCCACACCGCATCGTGACAAATACTAATAATAACATACATTTCTATATTGTATATTTTAGCTACATTAATAAATACATTTCTGTATTGTATATTTTAGCTACATTAATAAAAGCAACCCATGATACAAAAAGTATTTGGACACTTAAATCGTGCTTAAAAATGTCTCTGCATTAGACAAGGTATTCTAAAAAAAGAATTTAAGGTTCCATTTGTTAACTACATTAGATAACATGAACTAACAATGAAAAATACTCCTAACATGTTAATGTTAATTTCAACATTTAATCATACATTATTAATCAAAAGTTGTATCTGCTAATATGATTTAATGAACCTCAGCTAACATTACCTAACAATAAACAGTTGTATATTTATTAACTAGCATTAACAAAGATGAATAAATACTGCAACATGTCTTGTTCATTATGTTAGTGAATGCATTATCCAACGTCATCTAATGGAACCTTAGTGTAAAGTGTTACCAATAACAAAATATCAAAGTGGCATTTATTTAAATAGTTTTAGGGGCCACTGACCTCTTTCCAGATGTAGTAGTGGCTGAGGAAGCAGCCCACCTCTCCCTTGGTCAGCGTGCGGCCGGAGAAAGGGTCGTAGTAACCAGGTAAGAGATCGACACCTAGAATCTTAATATCGCTGCTGTTCAGAGCTCTGCATGCACACACCATTGGAAAAACGAAATTATTGCTCTTATCATCATAGAAAGAATGAATAAAGATTCCTCTTAAGAGTAAATGTCTGTTCTTACGCTCCATCAACAGCAGCCACAACTTTAGCATCAATCTCTAGCTCATACAGCGACCATAACATCCTGTCCCTGCGGTCTGGACGTCTGCGCAGGTTTATCAAGTAGATCTGAGGAGAACAAACACACATGCTGAATGTTGTAGCTCAAAGCAATGGTTAAAAAAAACAGAGTATGCACTCAACTTTACCTCATCAAAGCCCATGAGATCAGACTGTTTGGGAGGAACGTGGACATTGCGAGACACATACATTGGCGGCCCGTGGACTGTGGGAGAAATGACTTCAATTAGGACAAATCCTTGACTATGATTCTGTTTGATTAAGGAGCTAATCGCTAATTAGCACAAGGTTAGTGTATTCTTCAAATACAGTGGGGTTCAAAAGACTGAGACCACACTGAAAATCACACAAGATGCTTTTTGGGACATTTTATGCTACGTGATCATAGCTATGGAAGCCTGTTTCTACCGCAGAGTAAAACATTTCAAAGATTCTTGTGAGTTTATTTATTATAATTGACTTTATGTCCCAGAATGTGACTTTATGGCTCACAATTGCAAATTTTGTCTCATAATCTGACTTTATATCTCATATTTGTGACTTCAGTTTCATATTAAAAAGTTCACCTCACCATTTCCTATCCTATTTTAAATCCTATTTTTATAATTCTTGTCAGTTGCCACCATTGTGAAAAAAGCATACTTTAGAATACTAATATATATATATATATTAGTGCTGTCAAACGATTAATCGTGATTAATCGCATCCAAAATAAAAGTTTTTGTTTACATAGTATATGTGTGTGTACTGTGTATATTTATGATGTATATATAAATACACACACATGCATGTACATATTTAAGAAAAATGTGTTACGTTTATATATTAAATATATTTATATATGATATAAATTATATGAATTTAAATATATACATGTAAATATTTTCAAAATATATGCTGTATGTGT